AATTGGGAGCACAATGAGACTAGCACGTAACCACGTCTGACGATGACTTATGTTGCTGTTGCAATAATATGTTAAGCCTATAATTATTGCTACTCATTTTTATTTATTTATCAAAATAGGTCAAACTCAGAAAAGATAATTTTTTAAAAAGGAAATAAATACTAAAAACCACTTAATATACCAACAACGAAAATCATACCTGACCAATTATGTTCTCAACCAATCCTATGCTCAGAATCCGGTTCACATCAACTTACCTGGGAAAGAAAACAAAAGCAATCGTCATAGCGAATTGTTGGGCGCAGAGACACGCCCTCACGCCGCGGAAGCGATATAACACCTGAGAAATAGCCCTGACTTTGTTGTCACAAAAGCACAAGCCAACCTCAATATTCCCGTTTCTCAAAGGAAACAAGAATAGAAAGTAAAATATCTCAACAAAGTAAAATATACACTCTTTCTCTCATCAGTTCTAGGACTGAATTGTTGAGGGAACCTACAAGCAATAGCCAACACCCAGAAAATAGTAAATACACGAGATTTACGTGGTTCGGCAAACTTGCCTACGTCCACGGGAGGGGTTGAGGGGAGATTCCACTATGAGGAAAACACTGACGACTTGTACAATCCACAAGCTCGTCTCAAAGAAAAGAGATCTGATTTTTACCCAAAAAATTGACCTCTCTCTTGTAAAATCTCTCTTTTTCTCTCTCAAGATCTCACATTTTTTTCAAAATCTAAGTCTCTGTTTTTCTCTCAAAACAACCGCCACAGAAAAATAAAACCCTCCGCGTTTTCCCACGAACTTGCCGTCAAAAACACTTCTGATTTCCCCCTTACACGAAAACCTAGGAAAGTTGCATATTTATAGAGATTTACAGATCTCGGGTTGATTTTCACGTGAATGGATGTTCACGTGCTTGTGTGTGGCCCCTACGTTCCCCTGGTTGATTTTTCGCGTGAATGGATGTTCACGTGCTTGTGTGTGGCCCCCATGTTCCCCATATTTCCCACATTCACAATTCTTCACCTCGTCCATCATTTGATAAACCTTAAATTTTGGACGAACACTAGAAGAACACCGCGAACATCACCAGAGAGATCTTCATCGGCCAAACCAAGCCAACTAGCCATAGTTCTGTTATTGTTCTCCATCATAGTCTTCACCTCACCCCATCACCGTCCCGAAGGGCCATGCCCTCTTGGGCAAATCAATACGAGCTGATATGAAGCAAGTCCAAGCGATGCTTAAACTTTCTACCTGTGACCACCTTGGTTAACATGTCTGCGAGATTCTCATTCGTGTGCACCTTCATGAGAGAAATATCACCTTCCTCTATGACATCTCGCACGAAATGATACCTGACATCGATATGCTTAGTACGAGCATGATGAACTTGATTCTTTGCCAAGTGAATCGCACTCTGACTGTCGCACCACAAGTTCACGTTCTCCTGCTCAATCCCTAAATCGTCTAGAAGACCCCACAACCGTAATGCTTCCTTCACTCCCTCTGCCATGGCTATGTATTCGGCCTCTGTAGTAGAAAGTGCCATTGTAGCCTGTAACATCGATAGACAACTAACTGGAGCTCCATGTATCCTGAATACATAACCATTAGTAGATCACCGTCAATCTAGATCACCTGCATAATCAAAGTCAACAAACCCATCAATATGACATGTATCTCCTGTTAGCCCTTATGTTTTGATGATGTTTTACAACCACCATTATCGGTACTAATGGCTTATTGAGTACAAATGTAGTGAATTCATATATCAAGCTTGTTAGTACCACGAATGGAGGATTGGATGGAATATGCGCTACAACGACGATATCCAAAGGAGGAGGAGGCATAGTGATGAAGCAACGTTATTTCAAGAACAACAAAATCATATAGAAGCTTCATCCAAATTCAAGCTATATCAAGACTCAAGCATTGCATTCTATATGAGGATATTAGCTATCTTTTATTTTTCTCTCTAGTGCTAGAATATAGGCAAAGAGTTATTGACTTCACTTGAAGCTATTGGGATATCACACACACGTTTTCATACTTATGTTTTTAAGCGTTTTTCACAAAATACTATTTTTTACAAGTATGAGGACCTATCTGCAAAATTTCTTTTTCAAACAGTTTGGTTTTAGTATTAAAAATATTTTACAAAGTTTCATAATTTTCAGAGGTCAAATAAATATTTTCCAAATATTTTAGTTGAGTCAAAAACTGTTTATCTGAAATGTATCAGAATGCGGTCTACCGCACCGGTCGACCGCTCATATGATCATTCGTCAGTGGGTAGCAGAGAGTTTGTCGGTCGACTGATGCGATCGACCGAGAGCTCGATTTTTCTGTCGGTCGACCGCACCGGTCGACCGATGAAGTCTCTGTTTGTTTTTGCACCGGTCGACCGCTCATATGATCATTCGTCAGTGGGTAGCAGAGAGTTTGTCGGTCGACTGATGCGATCGACCGAGAGCTCGATTTTTCTGTCGGTCGACCGCCCCGGTCGACCGATGAAGTCTCTGTTTGTTTTTCTCGTTTTCGATCTGGATCGTGGTCGACCGAAAATTTCGTCGGTCGACCGAAAAATTTCGTCGGTCGACCGAAAATTTCGTCAGTCGACCGCCATATTTTTCAAATGGTAATCTCTGTCTTTTTTCGGCGCCGCTCAGTACAGATCTCAGCGACGTTTTGGTTCCAGATTTTGGGGGATTAAGGGATGGGTTTAAACAGCTATTTTTCTCCTATTTAAACTCAACCTCTTCTTCTTCCTCAGTGTCCCAGCGTTTGCAAAAACCAGAGACGTTGTTTTTCACAGAGCTTAAATTTCAAAACCTGTTCTTCTGAGTTTTGTGTGTGTGTTCACTTCCCAGCTTCAGTGTGCTCTTTCTCTTTGCCATAGGGACGTTGTAAAGAGAGAGTCTTACACCATTTCTACTATCTTGTGAGTGTGATCTT